TCCCGCAATTGGGTATACGATGTCTTCCCCAGCTTCAGCGGAGAAGACGTCCGTGTAACTTTCCTCAGCCACCTTCTCAAGGAGCTTGACCGGAAATTGATCATTGCTTTCAAAGACAATGAGATCAAGAGAAGTCGATCGCTCGATCCTGAGCTTAAACTGGGGATTAAGGATTCTAGGGTTGCAGTGGTTGTGTTCTCTAAAAACTACGCTTCTTCAAGCTGGTGCCTTAACGAGTTGTTGGAGATCGTAAAATGCAAGGAAGAGTTTGGCCAAATCGTGATACCGGTTTTCTATGGTTTGGATCCTTCCCATGTGAGGAAACAAACCGGTGACTTTGGAAATATCTTTGAAGAGACGTGCAAGAACAAAACAGAGGAAGTGAAAACTCGATGGAGGAGAGCTCTGACTGATGTAGCTAATATCCTCGGATATCATTCTGTGAAATGGTACGATTTTATTAATAACTATTGTTTTCTTATTTGTAAATAAACATTTTTTTTTTTTTTGGTGTTAAATAATAACATGTTTGTGCATGGAACTTTCTCCTTATTAGGGGTAATGAAGCTACAATGATTGAAGCAATTGCCAACGATGTTTTGGGCAAACTGCTTTTAACTCTGTCAAATGATTTTGAGAATTTTGTTGGCATTGAAGATCATATCGCTCAAATGAGTGTATTGTTGAATCTGGAGTCGGAGCAAGTGAGGATGGTTGGTATATGGGGTTCCTCGGGGATTGGTAAGACTACCATTGCAAGAGTTCTGTTTAATCGACTCTCTCGACACTTCCAAGGTAGCGTTTACATAGACCGGCGTTTCATATCTAAAAGTATGGAAGTTTATAGCAAATGCAACCCCGATGACTATAACATGAAGTTGCACTTGCAAGAAAATTTCCTCTCTAAAATATTAGATAAACAAGTCATAGAGGTGGATCACTTAGGTGTAGTGAGGGAGAAGCTAAAGGACATGAAAGTTCTTATCTTCATTGATGATTTGGATGACCAAGTTGTGTTAGATACTTTAGTGGGTGGAGATGAATGGTTTGGTCCTGGGAGCAGAATCATTGTTATTACAAAAGATAGGCAGATGCTAAGGGGCCGTGGGATTACATGTATTTACGAGGTTGATATCCCATCTGAAAAGGTAGCTCTTCAGATATTCTGTCGATCTGCTTTCAGGCAAAATTCGCCGCCTAATGGTTTCATGGAGCTAGCTTCTGAAGTTGCTATGCGCGTAGGTGGTCTTCCTTTGGGTCTTAACCTTCTAGGTTCGTCTTTGCGTGGAAGGAAAAAGAAGTATTGGGTAGATATGTTGCCCACTCTTCAGAAAGGTCTAGACGGGAAAATTGAGAAAGCATTAAGAGTCAGCTACGAAGGATTAGAAAGAAAAGAACATAAAGAACTATTTCGTCACATCGCCTGTTTTTTTAATGGTGATGAAGTCAATCATATCAACTTGATTCTTGCAGATAGTGGGTTAAATGTTGATATAGGTCTTGAAATACTAGTTGATAAGTCCCTCATACGTAAAATACCATCATTTGGTACGAAAGTTGTCGAGATGCACTGTCTAGTAGAAGAGATGGGAAAAGAAATCGTCCGTTCACAATCGAACGAGCCTGGACAACGAGAATTCCTGATGGATTCGAAGGAGATCTACGATGTACTTAAAAATAACACCGTAAGTTTTGTCTTTCTCGTTTTCTAACTCTCTCTATAACATTGAAAGTTTCTCTATAAGACCATGATTCTTATATTTTTCAGGGTAGTAAAGACGTTCAAGGTATATCATTAAATATAGATGAGATTGATGAGTTGCGGATAGAAAAGAAGGCCTTCAAAGGGATGCATAATCTTCGTTTTCTAAAACTTTACGCTACTAAATGGGGCCAGAAGAAGGAAGTTAGGTGGCATTTACCAGAAGATTTTGACTATTTGCCCCCTAAACTTAGATTACTGAGGCTGGATGAATATCCAATGCGATGTATGCCTTCTCAGTTTTGTCCTGAAAACCTCGTTAAGCTCCAAATGTGGTACAGCAAACTCGAGAAGCTTTGGGACGGGGTTCACGTAAGTTTATAGTAAACTTATAATTAGTATCGAAATTTGAATGCGTGCTTTACTTTTACATGACACTCCTTTGAAGTGATGTCTAACTTCCTTATACTTCAGACACTTACAGGGCTCAAACATATGAATTTGCGTGGATCTATCAATCTGAAAGAAATCCCAGATCTTACTATGGCCACTAATCTCGAGATACTTGATCTTATGAGATGTTCGAGTCTGGTGGAGCTTCCTTCCTCTATTCAGTTCCTCAATAAATTAACTGATTTGAACATGTTAGGATGCACAAATCTGGAGACGCTTCCAACCGAAATGAACCTTGAATCTCTCGAGCGCCTCACTCTCACTCAATGTTCGCGGTTGAGGACATTTCCCGGAATCTCAACAAACATCTCAATGCTCATTCTAAACGAAACAGGGATTGAAGAATTCCCCACTAACTTGCGTCTAGAGAATCTATCTAATCTTGAAATGTGTATAATGAAGAGTGAGAAATTGTGGGAAAGAGCAAAGGTATGTAACGTTTTTTTTTCCACTGTCGCTATCCATTTCTTAAACGCTGTGGAAAAGGAGAATATAGAGAAAAAACTGTGTAGTACTAACATGATTAAAAACATATAATCTATTTTCTTATGTGAATATTTCTATAGATTTTATATTAAAAACAATGGAAGGATGCAATTGCAAATTTATGATGTGAATTTTTTGCGTTGTTTGTTTGTTTCAGCCGCTTAAACCTCTCATGGCCATGTTGCCCCTGTCTTTGAAGAGTCTAGATCTCTCGGATATCCCAAGTTTGGTGGAGCTTCCTTCCTATATCCGGGATTTCAATAATCTTGAGTATTTGAGAGTTACAGAATGCATAAATCTGAAGACACTTCCCACTGGAATCAACCTCCAATCTCTCTATCAACTCTCCTTCAAGGGATGCTCACGGTTGAAGAGTTTTCCTGATATCTCAACCAATATCTCAGAGCTCGATCTCAGCAAAACAGCAATAGAAGAGATTCCATGGTGGATAGTGAAATTCTCTTGGCTTGAATGTCTTCAAGTGAATGGATGCAACAATTTACAATGTGTATCCTTTAACATTTCTAAACTGAAACATCTTGCGGATGTTGACTTTTCAGACTGCGGAGCATTGACTGAAGCTAGCTGGAATGATAGTCCAAGTGCGGTGGCAATGATAACAGATGATGTTCACTCTGAGTTACAACAAGTCCCTGACGAGGCTTCCTCTTCTCGTCCAGATAATTGTGTGCCAAAAGTCAAGCTCAATTTCATCAACTGCTTCAACTTGGATCAAGAAGCTATGATTCAACAACAAACAGTTTACCAGCAACTGATCTTTCCAGGGGAAGAAGTGCCTTCATATTTCACTCACCGTACTAATGGGACCTCCTTGGCCGTCCCCTTACCTCATACCTCCCAACCATTCTTCAGATTTAAGGCTTGCGCTGTGGTTGATTCCAAATCTTTTCCCATAGGTTATCCTCCATTCGACATCCAGGTAAGTTGTTGGTTCAGAGGCAGACTCGGGAACCACTTCAATTCTGCTCATTGGCCACGCTACTCCTCAAAAAATAAGTTGGGTAGCTTTTTGGTTACATTTGACTGTTTTTTCCCCATAACTGACGACAATGCTCCTCTAGCTGAAGATAACTACGATCACGTGGATATACAGTTTCATCCCATTGATTTATTTTCTTGCCTTAAACTAAAAGGATGCGGTATACGACTCCCTGAGGACGGTCCATCCCTGGATAGCCAACCTTGTAGTCCAAATAATCTTCCACATGTTTGTGAAGGTGATAAAATCAACATGGTTAAATTGGGAGGAAAACATATTCTAAGGAGCCATGGGGTTAAGTGTCTTCACAAGATGGCTATCCCATCGGAAAAGCTAGCTCTTGAGATGTTCTATCGATCTGATTTCTGGAAAAATTCTCTGCCCGAGGCTTTCATGAAGCTCGCTCCTGAAGTTTCTGTGCGTGCAGGTGCTCTTCCTTTGGGTCTTAATCTTCTAGGTTTGTCTATGCGAGGACAGAACAAGAAGTATCGCTAGGATATGTTTCCAACTCTTCAAAAAGGTCTATCAAGTAATGCTCTTCTCTACCAAAATTGTTCATTTATCAAGTGTTTGCTGCTTCTATATTCTTGCAATTTATAGTTTTTTTAATCCTCAGTTAAATAATCTATTTTTCTCTCTCCTCTTGGTTTCATTTGTTTAAGGGTCTTGTTTGGTGGTTTTCGAATGTTCTGTTTCTGAAAAACCTAGTTAATAAGCCCCTCATTCATGTGAGTGGAGATGCACGGTTTCCTACAAGATATGGGTAAGGAGATCAGAATCCAGGTATGTTGTCGGTTTATAGACAGACTCGGAAACCACTTTGATTCTATTGATTTGTATCTACATGTCAAGAAACTTGAGCATCTAGGTCGTCGGCTTGTATTTGACTGTCGGTTCCTTCTAGACAGAGAGAGTTTTCATCTACCTGAAGTCAAATATGATCATGTGGATATACAGTCTCATCTCAGTGATCATGACTCTTGAGTTAAAGTTGATCGGATGTGGTATAAGATTCTCCGAGGACGATGAAAGCAATGAAGATAATGATCTAGATAGTGAGACTGATCACAGTGAAGGTATGAAGACAGAGAAGCAGTGAGCGATTGCAGGTAAACTTTAGACATCTCATCATTCTTTTCTAAGAACAAAGAGAAACTTTTCATATAGATAGTGGATGACACTGAATTGTTTCTGCAGATTATGTTGTCTAAAACTTTTAGACAACTCAAGAACCTACTGACTTGCTCTGCAGCCTAACTGCACGGTTCTTAGGTAACTCCAAAATATTATAAACCATCTTATTTTAGTCCCAAATCAGTCGTGACACAGCTTCACGATTTGACTCACAAAAGGTCATAACCCAAACAGGATCTGCATTTGTAATTCAATTTTATTTTGTGCTTCTAAATGTTGCTGGCTTTAAAGCTACTTTAGCTAGATAAAATAAGGACATGTGGCTTGTGATAACTTCATCTGTAGACGCTTCATAGAAGAAAGATGTCAATATATCAAACTTTTTCAACTCTGCTTTCAATCTGATCAAGTCTATGACCATGCTTATGCAGATTGAGACGACGCAGCAGCTATGCAGAATATCTTGGCCAAGAGTGGTTGCTGGACTTGTTTGTATAATCTGTTTCTGATATAGGGAAATAGAGATGGACCAATGAGAAGATGACACGTGTTTAGTAAAGCTAAAGGGAAAGTGAAGCACAGAAGAGAAGAAGAAGGATTCGGTTTATATACAAGAGTTACAATTCATTTTACACATACATTGAATTTGTTGATTGTTTTTAYMTAGATTTTCTCTAGATCTCTCTGAGATTTGTAAGGTTTCGGATCTTTGTTTCTTGAAAACATTGGTTTGATTTGTGAATAACATCGATACAAACTTCGTTATCAGTTTCTTGTAAGGTTATACACAAGTCACAAGAAACAGAGTAATAAAAAGGAGTTGCTTCCTGCACAGCTTCCTTCGAAGCCCTAATGCTTAAATCAATAGTTTGTTCAATACAAGAGGATGACAAAGCTATTCTGAAGGAAAGCTGTTTCAGACAATATTTTTTTTTTGCCGAATTTAATTATCATGCTCTATCCAGTCAGTAATTTCTCTGAGGATATTGCTATTACCTATAAAATTTAATTCGTGAATGGTCATAAACCCAAACAGGAGTTGCATCCGCAATTCGATTTCCTTTGTCCTTATAAACGTCGCTGGCTTATAACTTTCCAAGCTACATATGTTATAGCTTAAAAAAAAGTATTGAGGTATTAGTTTGTGTCTCCTAAAGTTAATCTCCAATCTGCCTATTACATTACAAATTTTTTAAAAAACTCTAATCCGATAGTAACTAGTAAGCTAACATGGTGGTGCTTTGAAACATACAGGGAGAAACAGGTCACCAAGCATCTCATTCCTCATCACTTTCTTAGCTTCTTTGTCAAAGAGAGACTTCCACGACTCCAAAACGCTAGACTCCATCGCTTCCCTCGCAAACCCATTCGCCTCTGAAACATCTTTCACAGACCTCAACTTCTCATCTACCTTCTTCAACGCTTCTTCAATACTAGACGTAAGCTCTCGGCCATCCAAACAGTTTCCTTCTCCTCTAAGACTCAAAACAAGGCGATCCAGATCTCTGATTCCAGCATCAAAATCCTTCCAAGTCTCCGAGATCAGTCCCCATTGGACCGATTTGCCATCATCGTTCTGATATACTCTGTTCTTGGGTACGATATATTTTAAGTAGACAGAATGAATAACACAAAGCAGCCTTTCCACCACGGGACTGTCAGGATTCCGGTCGTCTCTTTGTGCATCTCCCCATAACTTATAGCAGAACCATAACACACTATGAATGTCATCACACAGCAAGAACATTGATTGAGCCACACATAGCGAGAGCTCAACTCCTAATTGCACAACCTCCTCTTTCAGCTCCTGCTTTGCGAAATCTGTCCTGCAAAACAAAAAAAAGGCCAACATGAAGACTTTGTAGCATATGTGAATGAGTGAGAAGGAAATAATTGTGATATTACTGACC